AGGGTGCAGGGCAGGGACCTGCGGGAGCGAGGGCACGCGCCTGGCGTCGCGTTCGCGCGCCTGAGTTCTCCAGGGGTGCTCGCAGGCAGGGATGGCGGCGGTCGAGGGGCGTGCCGTCGGGCGTGCCGTCGCGGGTGTACGGCCGTGCTGCGCAGCCGGGAGCGGGGGCGCGCGGGCGGCAGGGCTGGGCTCGAGCCCCAGCCCACCCACTCGTGCGCCAACCCATGGCCGCCTCTACCACACTGCTGGCGCCCCGCCTGGCCCCCCAGGCCACCGCAGCACGCTGCCGCAGTCTCTGCCCCTGAAGCGCGGCATGCTGCATTACGCATACGGCCGGAAGCTTCCCGTACAGGTAGATGGCTGGGGGTGGGGCCCTTGCTGAACGTTGCTAAATGCGAGTGGAGAGATGGTTTCCGTGACAGGCATCAAACAAGCCCCGAAGTCGCGCAGTTACCGAAGGGCGTGCTGTTGGTGGGGGGGATGGGGTTCCGCTCAGAAACGTGTGCAAACTGGGGCGCTTGGGCGGCGGCCCCTCGCTCGCCTCGCTCGCCGCGGCGTGTGGCAGCGGCAGTGCAGCCTTGTCTGCTGAAGGGCGCCCCCCCCCCCCCAAAATGGCTCTTGACCACCCGCTGCATCATCAAACCTTTCAAACGGCGCTGCGATCCCTCAGATTATAATGAGCGGCAACAAGGAGAGCGTGATCAGCGAGAAGACCCTGGGCATCGGCTTCGGCTGCACCGTGGTGACATCATACTCGCCCGTCATCAACTCGGCGGATTACGCGACCTTTGACGCCTTCATGGAGAAGCTGCAGGCCACGTGGGACGCCGAGTGGGCGGCCACCATGAACGCCGACCCAGCGGGTGGGCGGGTGACCGCGGCAGGCCGCGTGCGTCGGCGTTGGCTTGATGACTCGGCGTGTGCGTGCTTCTCAAGGCTTGTATCGTGCAAGCACACGCTTACGATCTGACGTCCTTTCGCGTCGGCTCGTTCGCCACGTCATGCACAGCAGCGGTGCCAGCGCTCCGCGGCCCCTCGCCCCTCGCCCTGGCGCCCCTCCCGGCGCCTGCTGCCTCTCCGCCTCCTCTTGATCCCCAAAATTTCAAACCAAAACATTGTATCGCAGGTCTGGACCCTCTGGTGCTCAGCGGGGCGGCCGCCGAGGAGCCCTACCCTGCAGCTCTGAAAATCTCGCAGCTGCTGTGGACCGCCCTGGCCGGCGCGCTGCTGGTTGCGACGACGGCCCTGTCGTGGCGCGCGCTCGTGGCGGCCACGGCCGTGCTCGGGCCGCAGGCCCACCAGGTGGGCGCCGGGGCGGGCCCGCTTTGGGGCGGCGCCGGGGGTGGGGCGCTCGGCCGCGCGCAGCGTCTCGGCGGGAGATGGCGGCCGCCGACGTGCGGGCGGTGGCGGCTCCTGCTGTGCAGCCGTTCGGGGACCACAGCGTGCCAGTCCGAGCCCTTAACCCACCCTCCACGTTGCTTGTTCTTGCACCTTAGACTCTCTCCCTGCCCCCCTTCTCTCTCTCTCTCTCTCTCTCTCTCTCTCTCTCTGTGTCACCCACACTCACACCCACACCCACATTCTCTCTCTAATCTTCTTGCAGCCGGTGCTGGCTCTGCTGGTGGCCTGGTTTGGCGCCTCCATGGTGTACTGCTGGGACTCCTCCCCGCCAAAGCCCCGCGCCGCAACCGCGGGCGCCACAAAGGGCGGCGCCGCGGCCGGCGGGCGCGCGGTCGTGGCAGAGGCGCGCGCGGCGGGGGGCGCGGGCGCCAACGGGCTGCACAACCGCAAGGGCTCGAGCTGACGCGGCCAGCGCAATCAAGATTGGGATCTTCCTTTCCAAACTGCCTCCTTTGATCCGCGGGCGCCTGTGCCCCTCGCTCTCCCTGCTCTCCTCGGCCCTGCCGCAGCTGCTGCTGTGCGACTTTCGCGTGTGCTGCTGAGCCCCTTGATTGCCTTGCAGAGCGCGTCAAACACGCATCATTACAGCCGACACCATCACAAACTAGTAATCAACCGGCGTCGCATTCGACCGATGCACACACAGCTCGACGGCAGCCAGCAAAACTCACACAAGCGCACACGCGTGCATCGCCGCAAGGGACGAAACGCAGCAGGCGGGCGTGGGGGCAGTGAACGTACAGCGCAAGAGGCACGCGGCTGGCACCCCTGGCTGCCACCGACAAGCCGCCTAGACCCCCAGGCCGGCGCCCTCGAGACCGCGGCCGCGCGCGCCCCAATGTCACGCAGCTGCGGCGCGTGCGGCGCTCATAGCGGCCTGAAAGGCTCACCCCCGCCGGGGAACCCGTTCGGCGGCTTGTTCATGAGCAGCAGCGTCCCCAGCAGCATGCAGCGCCGCTCGCGCTGCATGTGCGCCGTGAACGAGTGCACCTTCAGGAACCGCTCGTAGTCGTCGCGCTTTATGGTGGTGGGGCTGCTGCTCATGGTCTGAGCCCAGGAGCGCAGCTGGGTGATGCTGAAGGGGCCCTGGAACGCGCCGTCGGGGTCGACGTAAAACCAGTCCTCCGACCTTTCATCATGGAAGCAGGGCATCGCGTCGACCCGCCACTCGCGCGCGATCTGTGCCGCCGTCACGCCGCCGCCGCCGCGGGGCGGCGGCTGCTGCTGCTGCTGCTGCGGGGCCGCCGCGGCGCCGCCCTGCGGCGGCTGCGCCGGCCGGG